AAAAAATATTTTAAAATATTAGATACATCTAAAAAAAATCTCAAAATGCTGGATACCTCATATAAAATTAATACAAGAGTATCTTTCCATGGGGACATTGACAGTGCGCAGGCCCTGCGCATAAAAATGATGAGATCTTGTGTTTGAATTCAGTGTTGAAATATTTGTAAATGTGTGTTTAATTGTTTTAAACAAAAAAAATTAGGGAAAATTAGGGAGAAGGACCTAAAAAAATTAGTATTTATTAAGAGGGATCTTAAAAATTGTAATTAATTTGAAAGACCAAAGATTAAAATAAAAGTTTACAATTACCAAATTATCCCTTGTCAAATCCCTACATTATCTCCAACACTTTCATATCTCAATTTGATGGTTAGTAGGGGTGGAAATAGGCCAGGCGGCCTGTCAGGGGCCTGTGGCCTGGCCTGTAAATGGCCTGGCCTATTTAGATATCATACCAGGCTCAGGCCTGTAAAAAGGCCTGTTTACTTTATCAGGCCAGGCTCAGGCCTGATAGTAAGCCTGTTAGGCCTGTCAGGCGGCTTGGGCCTGTTATCTTTTTTTTTTTTTAGGTTAAAATTGTAAATTGATAGGAGGAAATCTGCTATTCTGATTGGTTAATTGAGAAAACTCTATCTACATAAACGTGCTATCTAGAGCTTATTGCATGCTTCATTTCATTTCCATTCTCTATAATAAAAATAATTGATGTATGTATAATGACACATATTTGAACAGAGAAAGAAAATATGAGTGCATTAAAAAAAGAAGTAAAAGCATCATTCATTTATTTGATCCATGCTTTTCATATTAATCTTATGTAGAATATATATATATATATATATATAATTGACCTATTATGTTTTAGACCGTATATATGTGTGCTCAATCTAATTTTTTATTATAATAGTTACTTAATTAATTTAAATAAGTAAATAAATTATAATAATTGTAATATTTTTTTAAAATAACCATGTGTAACAACATGATCAAATATCATTTTGTGAATAAATTAGTTTGAATAAATGATAAATTTAAAATATAAAAGGAATTAAGGATGTTTCATATTTTAAACTAGATCTAGTCATCAACTAATTTTTATACTAGAGATGGGATGAAGTGATATTTTTATATTGGAGTGAAATTATGTTTTCTAATAATTTTTCATATTAGATTTTTTTTGGGCATAAGGGGACATGTTTTACAAATTGTATTAATTTGATAATTTCATATTTTTTCTTTGTATTTTAGATCAATTAGGTTAAATTATTGTAATTTTGAATTGATTTATGTGTGTTTAAAATTTGTTAAAAAAAAACAGGCCTCTTAACAGGCCACAGGCCAAGCCAGATTTGATTACAGGCCAGGCTCAGGCCTATTAAAAGGCCTTTCACAGGCCGCAGGCCAGGCTCAGGCTAACAGGCCTCACCATAGGCCAGGCCTGTTAAGAGTGAGGCCTGGCCTGACCTGTTTCCACCCCTAACGGTTAGTTATCAAGTGAACTTGATTTTTCTCTCTCACTCTCTGCGTATCTTTTTTTTTTTAATGCATGTAAAGTTTCTATCAATAGCAATTATCTTTTTGTAAATTTAGAACAAAGAAGACAAATTAAAAGGAACCAACTATTTATTGGACTGTACATGTATTCTGAGTATTATTTTCCCTTCTTTAGTTTGTTTGTATCGAATGTTTCCTTATTTTCTCGTGGCCTCTATCCTAATGTTCAATCTGTGAACTGTAAACATCAGCAATATACTTACACTATTTATATGCATATGTTTCGCACCCAATTTTATTACAATATATTGTATGCAAATTTGGATGAATACGAACTAACGGTGATAATAAGATAGGTAGTGTCATGGAATTCAGGTAGATATGATGGATATTTAGTTCATTAATAACACAGGCTCTTGACTGAAGTCAATATTATTGTGCAATATATGCATAGATATTCTAATTTGCATTATGATAAGTTATTTGATCTGCTCACGGCATTTTGTGCAATTATATATCCAGGTTCAAATTGAGTTTTATGGTGATGGAGACAATGTAGAAGACAAGGTTCTGGATCGCTCATAAGATATATGCTTTGCTAAAGTGAACTTTTAACTTTTTAATGTTTTGCTAGTTGCTTGATTTACTTGATATTAACCATATATCTTTGAAACCTATAACCTTTGAGCATCAGTTTGATATCATAATATTTGATTCAATTTTCCTTAATAATGCAATGATATTGTTCAAATTTCCTTATTAAGTTAATGAGGAGTTATAATTACTTAAATTTTAATTCTTTAGCATCTTAGTTTGCTAATATCTGATTAAAAGCATCCAATATAAAGACTTCTTGGATGAATATAAAAGTATGTATTTGTAGCTTCATTCAATCCCAACTATACATACATATGAACACAATCATGTTACCTATACAAAGCTTCTCAGATGAATAAAAATATAGTTCTTTCTATTAACCAAAATATGAAAATTAGATAAATACTACCGCTTCATAACCTAAGTTTCACTAATAATTTTTCCAACCATATCAGAATGAAAGGCAAAATCACAGTCGCACAAGTTGGAAATTTTTCCAACCATATTGGAATGAAAGGCTAGTCGATGCTGATATGAATGGCTGACAAATAGGACTCTATTTTTTTTGTTAATTGTTGTATTTAGTTTTTAATTTTAAATGGGGGCAATTTAGTAATTATAAATTTATATTTCAATTGATAACTAACAGTCAGATATTGAGATAGGTGTTGGAGATAATATAAGGATTTGGCCAGGGATAATTTCGTAATTGTAAATTCATATTTTAATTTTTGGCACTTCAAATTAATTACAATTTTTAAAATCCCTATTAATAAATACTAATTTTTTTAGGTCCTTCTCATTAATTTTCCCAAAAAATTAACAAAAGAGTGTTTTAAAAGAAAACAACTTTTTTAAAAATCTGATAAATATGGATAAAAAGACATAAATGCCATTCAATCAAAAGCCCGTGTGCCTTCCATTTTAAGAAAGCGAGAGCCTTTGCGTTGTCTAAATTAGTCTGCCTCAGCAGGTAAGGCAATAAAGCTAGGGCTGGTAATATGGGCCAACCCACGGGTTGTGGATTGATCCCGTGACGGGTCGAACCATATGGATCAGGCTGAAAAAGCTCGTTTGAAGGCGGGTTGGCTTTTAACCAACTATAATCCACTAACACTTATTTATTATTTTTTTGAATTTTTTTATTTTTTAATATTTTTTTGTTATAAAAAATCTAGAAATAATAATAAATTTTTTTCCTTGAAATATTTGATTAAAAGTGCCAAATAAATTATATAGATAATTTTTTTAATTTTTAGATAGGATATAATATATAATAATATAATTATAATAATTAAATTTTTTTTTAAAAAATACGGGTTAGCCTGTGAGTTGGCGGTCCTAGCGATGAGGGTTAAAAAGTCTTGTTTACTGGTGGGTTTGCTAATTGGTTATTTTTGACAGGTTAGCAGGTTGAACCCACAGGTTCAATCCATATTACCAACTCTAAATAAAGCGAAAATATTTCCAATTTTTCATGTTTTTATGAAGATGTTAATTTTAAAATTTTGTGCAAATAATAAATGCCAAGTATTTCCAGGCCAGGAAACAAAACAAAACGAAAGAGATAAATAATTTAATATTCTGTCTATCATGAATGATTTAATCATTTCTTTTGTTTTCCTATATATTATATTATTTTATTATACCAAATATTATGCTGCATATAATTATAAATTACAATTTTTTTTGCCATCAAACAAATGGAATGGAAACCAATGTAATTTTATTATTTGATGAAACACTGGAAAAATTGAAACCACTATAAATAATAAATAATAAAAAATAATAATCAAAAGAAATAAAAATAAGTCAAAAACTTGTTAAAAAACTAACGAAAAGTTGTTAAAAATCAATGCCTTAAATTTTTATACAATATTCCTATAAAATAAAATAAAAATATATTAATAATTATTTTATCAGAGTCGAACCAATAAACTTCAAATCAATATTAATATTTCTAGTAATTCAATAACTAATCATCCTCTTTTCTTTTTGTTGACCTCAAAATGAAGGAGAAAGAACCATGTCCATGAAATAACCAGTCCACTTTTAAAATATCAACAATCAACAGAAGTTAATACCTTAATGTGTTGATGTAACAATCAAATCACATATTCATAATTTTTTAAAAGTTACTATGACCAGCAAGTGCACGACAATAAAGCCAAGGGTCTAAGTTACCATATACTCTTTTTGGTATCCAATATCAATCATTTTAGAGAGGGTTCCTAAGGTCCAAAATATGAAAATATAAGTAATATAAGAGAACATGTGAATTATTAAATGATTTTTTTGGTCAATGACCCTCCTTAAGTAATTTGCTACTCCTAAATATAAAAACTTGTAAAACAGTTATTTTAATTTTAAATATAAGATTTTAATATATTTTATCTTCTAAATTTATCTTTTTTTTTTATAACAAATTCTCTCTTAATTGCACGTCTTAAGAGAATTTTTCATCAATGGGATAATATCTAATATAAAAGGGTGAATGTTGAAGTAATGATAAATATTGCTGGCATATAATTTGAGATGATAAGTTCAAATTCTGAAACAGTCACTATACTTGCAGGCTAGATTGCTTACATATCATTCAATAAGAAACAAATCTAAAAGGTAATTTAGGAAATTAAATTACCTTCATTTTTTTTTTCATTTTTGTGTGGTGCTTAATTCCTACTCATATTATTAATTTTGAAATGTTAAGTTTGGATGGTTGGGGTCACGCCACTTGAGTGCGTGAGGAACTGGGGATAAAAGGGCTTGTGGCAGCCACACACCTCAATGACCACCAATAAAGATGTGGCGATAACAGTTGATAAAAACCGACGAACCTCGTCCTGCCACGTGGCGGATAGGATTTCCATGCCACTTCGCTTCAAAACCCCGTCCCCTCTCAGATCTCGCCATTCTAACTGTTCTATCTATCACACAGTTGGCCCAATCCCTCCCTCTCTCAATGGCCACCGCACCAGCTCTCTCCGGTACCGTCTTCAGCACCTCCTTCCTCCGGCGACAGCAGTCGGCGGTGAGCCTCCGCGCTTTTCCTCAAGTCAACCAGGCTCTGTTCGGCGTGAAGGAGACCGGCAGAATCACGGCCATGGCTGCTTACAAGGTGAAGCTCATAACCCCTGAGGGACCTCAAGAGTTCGAGTGCCCCGACGACGTCTACATTCTGGATCAGGCGGAGGAAGTCGGAATCGACCTTCCTTACTCTTGCAGGGCCGGATCGTGCTCTTCTTGTGCCGGCAAAGTAGTCGAAGGCACGGTTGACCAGTCCGACGGAAGTTTCCTTGACGACGATCAAATGGATGGCGGATTCGTCCTCACCTGCGTCGCTTACCCTCAGTCTAATGTCGTCATTGAGACTCACAAGGAGGAGGAGCTCACCGGTTAAGTTTGAATGTCGTTAATCGATTATTGTGTCTCTGTTATATCTTCTTCCTGATGTGTGATGCTGCTGCTGCTTCTTCTTCCTCCTCCTCCTCCTCCTTCTCCTTCTTTTTGTTTAATTCGTATTTCTGAAGAAGAATCCAGTGACCTGCTTCTGTTCCAGTAGAAGAAACAACTGAAATTGTTGCAACTCTAATATTGTTTTCGCTTACTCATTAGTTTTACTCTTTCATATGAATTTTCCTTGTTCCTCCAGCTTTTTCCTTGTCGTTAACTTTTCTGGAAATTCATGTAGTTTTCTTTTTCTCTATCAGTGTCATTGAACCCAAGCTTAATATGTCAGATTTTATCCAAGCACATGCATATATAATATCTACAATTCTCATAAGTTCAAGATAATTTGTACCCTAGGCTCGAGTAGCTATAAGATGTGTAGCAGCAAAATTTTCACCAAGTTTAAACAGCGGAATTGGTACGAAAATGTGAGCACATTACCAGAGACCTATAACGGAAGAGGGACTAATCCCTTTCATGAGGGAAAGTATATATTTTTTTTTGCTACGCATAGTGAGCATCTCTCTCACTCAGAATTTGAATTTTAGTTCGTCGTGAAGAATTAGTTCTTTTTGTTGTACCAATTTTGTTGTTAAAATATAACACTTCTACTTCTTAATATAAGATTTTATTTAATTTTTATTTTGATTCTAAATATAATATTTTAATTTATTTTGTTTGTCATATTTATTTATTTTTTTCTAAGGTATTCCTTCTAACAATAGTAGTTCTAACCGATACACTTGATTAGTAAGAATATTTCAGGAAAGACAATACATATTTATTACAAATAACTAATCTAACTTTTTTTCTTAATTTCTTCAAATTAGTTAATTAGCTCTTATATTTAGGACTGGAAGTAGTATTTAAACGTAATCCTTTGGACTAATATTGGAGAGTCCATATAGTATTTGGGCTTAGATGACAAAATGCCCATATTTTATCCCGCTTGAATCAGGCCCATATTTGTGTATGCCCATTATGTACTCGGCTTTCATTAATAGTTTTCCTAACAACGAAAATTGTGTGCGAAAGGAATTTAGTTCCTCATAACCCCACAAACTAATCTACTTTAATAATATCATAAAATTTTTTAATTAATATTAAAGCAGAATATGTTGAATAGTTTGATAGGTTTAATTTATTTTGTATTTTGATACTTATACTTTTAATTGTTATTAATATGGATAGTTTAGTTTCATAATGTCTGATAAATAGTCCTCATGCTTGCTGCCATTCACAACAAAAAGCATTAATCAAAAGCGAAACCCATAATTATTAGAACATTGACAAATAAATTATTAGTAGCAAAATCAATTCAACTCATAATGGTATAAGGATTATTTATTTAACTTTATAAAACCCGGGGGGAGGATGAATACAGAATAGCAAGAGTAGTACTAATTAAAATATAGAAGCCAAATTGGAAATTAAGTAAGACTTTAAAAACTAAAAGTTTATATTTTCTCTTTATTTTTTATGTCAAAAATTGATATATTTTAATTTATTTTCTGAAAGAATTAATTAATTATTTTTTGAAAAAACAACAAAAAAATAAGTTAAAAATTACTAAATACTAAATAAAAAATGTTAATAAAAATTTATTGTTTTTTATAAATTTAGTATTATCAACACCAAATAAAATATTATTATCAAACCTGATTTAGTATTTAACAATTTTCAACTTCTTTTTTTTTGTCATTTTTTCTTATTTTTAAACATTAAAAATACTATAATCATTAAAAATAATAATAAAAAGACTGTCGAAATAAAAAAATTATAAATAAAAATTATTACAATATTAGTATGGATTTTAACAATAATAGCATAGGTTTTGATAATAATTTTTGTGAACTGCTCCTCTATATAATTTTTTAATTTTTAGTGTTTTTTATGTGATTTTTTCTCATAAAAATTAGATTAATGAATAAGAATTTTAATAAGATGAATTTTAAACATAGTTGTCACTGCTTCCCTCGTCCTCTACCTCTTAAGCACCGCTCACGGTCACGGTTCACGTCTTCTGAAACAAATCAAGAAGAGTCTCGACTTTTTCTTCACCATAGCCATTCTCAATACGAACTACTTCCCTTCCTCCTTCTTCATCATCATCATTGTAGTTATCTTGTGGCGGTGGACCAAAATCTACTATTGATTTGGACAGGTACTCATCAGCCTTCTTCTTTGAATCCTCAATCTTGAGCTGATCCACCGAAGTCACCGTTATCTGATTCAGCGATTCCATCGACGAGCTCCGTGTTAGGGTTCCGGACACCACCGTTATCTCGTCCTTCTCGTCAATGGCCGATTCCAGGGAACACACTGATCTTGTGGCATGTGAGTGCACGGAATCGTGTTTGGATCTCTGCTTCACTCTCTTGCACCAACTATGTAGTGATTCTCTAACGCTTTCTGCTACCACCGCCTTCTTCCAGCGAGATCCCATCTGGAGTGATTCGTCAGAGAAAAATGTAAGAATTCTGGACTAACTAGTTATTGTTATTAGTTTTGGATTGGAATCCTGCAAGTTTCAGAGTGACCATTTTGAAGAAAGGATAGAAATAACTGACGGATGGACACCTCTTGTAATATTGTACAATATGAAATTCATCATGTTAAACAATAAGATTGTCTTGACTTAGTGATCATGTGTGTTCCACTTGTATACAGATATATCAGAATTAAAAAAAAAAAAATTCAGCTTTCACATGGATTTCTGGGTCTGGCCAAATAAAATCTCAGACACGATGGAACACAGTTGATCCCAAAAAACGGGGGGAGAACACCACAGAATAATGATTATACAATTGATTAAAAAACTTTAATGAATTAGTCAAAGTTCCATGAATTACGAAAGGTAATAATGGGGAAAAAAAATTTAAACTTTGGACTGAAATGGATGAAAATGTTATATTTCTTGATTTTCATATATTTAGACATACGAACTGATTAGAGAGAAAGTTAAACCAACCTGTGAAACTATGACATTCAGGGGTACTGTCATGTAGCTACACCAGAACTGAACAATAAGACTGCAAGTTCCATAATAAGAAAAATGTGAGGGCGTGCTGCAACTAATTTATTGTGGAATCTGGAAAGTTCATGTCAAGAGATGGCCAAGACAAACTATACACTATACTTTCTAAAATAAGTGTACCTACCCGGATGCTAACCGTATGATGATCATATATTGGTTTCTCATGAAGCATGATCGTTCTTTGAGACCCCACTATACAAACAGAAGTTCAAGGGGAAATTATAGATAAGATTTATAGAACAGATTAATCCTAGCAGTGAAAGATAAAATACACATGTAAATATGCAGCCATAGCCACACCCCCTTGAAGGATTAAAACTTACCAAAGACCATATATATGTTGCCATTTCGAAGGCATTCTGCATGAACAGTGAAGAAAATAAGAATCAAATATGTGGAATAACCTGAAAAAGATAAGATGTGAAATCTTAAGTTTGAACACACTTTTACCTGAAATATCACAAACTGTATCAACCATAACAATATCTCAGGTTTGTTGAACCAAAATAGATCGTCGCGTGGCTTTACTTGTGTCCCATCTGATGGACCTGTTTGTTCCCTAATCTCAAGTGCTAGAGTGGAAACAACATGCTGAAGTTTTGTCCCTATCAACATGACAAGCTTTTACATGTAGAATAATCAGACATGGATTGTAATAAAAATTTTGATAGATTGTTTCATTAAAACTATTGTGTTTTGTTAGCTCCACTTAGAAAAGAAAAATGAAACCAGAATATACTTACAATAACAGGAATAAAAGAGAGCCAAAAGTAAATATTCAGACCTGCAATTTAGGAATTTTAATATCTGAGAAATTTAAGCTCAAACTAGAACAATTTCCACTAATAGATTTGGATTGGGAGAAAAGAAGTTACCGTGAATGTTCACAAAAATGCAGATTATGGCATAACCCCAAAGTAGCCAACTGCAAGTCAACAATGGCAATTGTTAATGCTACGATCACACTACTACTAGGAAATGTTGAATCATCAATTGCTTGTCACTGCTGTTGATCTACAGTGTTAGTAAGATTTCAAGTTAAAAAACACCTGACAATAACCAAGAACGTCTTGTTCCAGGAAAGTTTTGACAATTTCTAGTGCTGATGATATTTTCCACTGCATGTTGTAGTCATTCATTGTTTTTGTTTACAGGTATGTTATTATTATTTTTTATTCATCTCATCAATAATAGCAGCTCATTTAGCATAATAGAAACACTTTGCTAATGTTTGTAAATATTTTTATGTTACAGGTGGATCGTTTGGAAGTCTTCATTATGTTAAATTATATGTTGATTAACTGAAGCTAGTGAACTGTTTCAACATCGCAGCGAAAATTTATGTTTGTGCTCCCGCACCCGTACATTTTACTTGACATCAGAAAGCATAAGAAATTGATATTAGCATTGCAAAATCACTTGAAAGTTAAAAAGAAGAAAACTGTTGTATGAAAATGCTCACCTTATCCCTAGAATACCATGAAATTCGTCTTCCATGCTGCGGACCATGTAATTATGAAAGTTATACGAAAGCGGTAGTTTATGCTTCTGTAAATTTCAAAGCAGGAAGCAAGTTAGTCACTGGTGCAAAGTTCAGTTATCCAAAAGTCGAGCAAATTGATGATTATATGCTATGAATGCAGCTGAATCTAAGCAGCCTATTTCCTTCTTTTCTCAGAAAGCAAGATGGCCACTCAGTGAACTACTTATGATTAAATAGGTTTCTTTAAGAGAAGCAAAAGATGAAGACAAAAAACCACAAGGTATGTATCATTTTGTTATAATCCATTAAAAAATCAGAACAAAAAAGAAAATATTCTTAACAAATTAGATACTTACAGTGATGAAACCCTGACGAAGTGCAAGGTAGTCAGATTTTTGTATGGAACTCCGAAATTGGCGCAGAAAACAAAGCTGCAAGAGCAAGCCACAAATTACCAACAGTTTATAACAAATGGAACCTGTATAAGTCTGATATTTAGCAGAAAAGTTGCTGCAAAATTTTTTCCAGTGAGGTTGGCACCCTCTGAAAATTATTACTTTCCAAACCAAAGTATTTGATTCCAGGAATATAAAAGATCATTTGCTAATTAAGCAATGCAAAACATCAAGAAGTCAGCAAAAAGTTTACAGGTGATAAAGATTCAGAGTATGCATGATTCATATTTGATGATACATTACCATCCATATTAATATTGGACTCCTGCTCCATGGATGAGAAGTGTGATGAAAAACAAAGGTTGTTTGTCTCCTCATCACCTTGTTTTTCTTTTCTGTGAAATAAAATTAATAAAATGTTAATAATGATGATTAAACGCATCATAGAGAAACACTGGGACTCCATGTTTGAAAAAGTTGTCATATTGACAAAGAACATAAATCTTCTAGTGTAAGATAAACCAGAAAAAAAAAAATATTACAGAAAGCTGGAAAAGCTTTAGCATTAAATCACAATGCAGAATGAAGGTTTCTGTAATTGTAGCGATTCATTTGCTAATGTACCTGGTAGATTTCCTTCAGCTGCAATGCTGGCCTGGTTTTCCCATCTTCGCCAACTATAGATCTATGAGAACACATCGTAAATAGAAAATAAACCAGAGGAGCAATGGTCAGATGGCATGATGATGTAATCAATTGTTAAATTCTAAGGTCCTGTTTGGTATGAACAATTGAGAATGAAAGATAAGGATTGAGATTGTAATTGAGAAAACTCACTAAAAGAGTGTTTGGTATGAGGGATTGTTTGTTATTTGGAATTAAGCAAACTCATGTGGGTAGGATAGTAAAATACTACCTCTGCCTATGGTACTTCTCAATTCCACTGATATGGGTTTGCTCAATCCCAAGCAACAAGTAATCCCTCGTACCAAACATTCTTTTAATAGGTTTTTTCAATCTCAATTCCAATCCTTACTTCTCATTCTCAATGATTAAGACCAAATGGAACCTAAGAGTATTTATTGACCAGCAACAGAAATAATGGGCCTGATGACCAGACATGAAGAAAAAAAGCCACTGAACCCAAAGAAGTAGGTGGACTAGCTGATTGAATTTAATGGTTTCAATTTTATATAAATAAATCTATATTTGATCTGAACAATTCAAAACTATAACGGAGGTGCATTAAAGGGAGATGCAGCGGAGAGAAACTGAGGGGTTGGAACAAGGATCTTTGATGAAGACAATGATTCTTATTGTGCCTAGTATGCTAAAAATTATTAAAAACAGGAGGGGGGGGGGGAACTCACATGAGGTGCTACGTATTGTTATTGTCACTAGTGAATGTAAGAGGACTCACAGAATTGGTTTTTGCAGTAGTGAAAAATTTTGATGCCTACTACTGACCTTGCTCATTGCTAAACCAACAGCCAGACAACTGTACAGAACATGAGTGATTCCAAGCACAAACAAGAATCGGTGCAACTGCTCAAGACCCTCATATGAAACGAATGGTTCATGCCCCTGCATTTATTTATAAATTAAGACAAGATCTCAAGTATTGATTAATCAAAGGTGACTCCAACATAATGAAGAGAGTTATCTAAGATTTTTTTAAAACAAAGAAGAATCATAATGAAGGGAATCATCCATGTTTCTATCATGTTTCTATCATTGTATGGAGTTCAAAGAATGAATTACACTAATTTTGGTTTGTAGATAGCATGACTTGTTATAGATTTTATGTATATGTTGATACTTCCTCTCTATTATAAAGCACCTCTAAACACTTCACCAGAACCAAGGAAAGGTAGTTACATCATTAACTTTATCTGAAAATAGAATAAATTACTGATTTTACCTATATTTAAATAAAAAATTTCAAATTTAAATTACGTTATCTCTCATTCTTAATAACTTTAAATAGGAGTGATATTGGGAAAACTTAATTAACACCCTATCAAGCGATTCATAATAAGGACCATCCATCTCTTCTAGAAGGTGCCTTGTAATAAGGACCTGAGGGAGTATATTGATTGTGTGATTCAGGGGATTATTCTAGAGATGATCTATATCGGTCCTTTCCATTTGTTCTGAGACAGTTCACACCTAATCTTGTCATTCTTTCTCAGTTTTTCCTTCTGATACCTCTCTATTCAGCTGGCTCTAAAATCTCTCTCTCTCTCCCTCCCTCCCCCCCCCCTCTCTCTCTCTCTCTGTGTCTGTGCTGTCAATTCATGGCAACTTCATTTAAGTACATCAAGTGATTACCTCCTCCACAATCTGCTGGCTATCCCACTTATTGGTTAAGTGCATCAAGCACCTTTTTATTCAGTGGAAATCAATTTTCCTAAACACATGATTAGTATACCACACTGAGAAAGCAACGCCAAATAGAAAAGGATATTACCTCAGGACACTGATGAAATGCACTGGTAATAAGTTCCTTTGAGGTATCAGTGTTGTTAGCGAAAGGGAATGGACTTTCAAGCATGATTCTTTCATTCTTTTCAAGGCCATCTTCCTCAGAACAAATATAAAATTGGCTGTTGAAAAGAGACGATTTTACACACATTTCAGAGATCCACCTTGCGCATTGTGCCAACAACAAAGAGATTAGCCCAAGCAGCATCAGCTCTAGCAGGAAGAATCAATTTCAATAAGAGACAAAATCATATATCAACTCCACAGCTCTACACAGTCAAGGAAAAATATTTTACTAAGGTTACCAAATCGAGCATGGATCCTCTCAAGCATGGGAATCCTAAGGTTTCCTATAATGAAAAATGATATAGACACATAACAGTGGATCCCACTTTTGACACATAGGCCCCATAAAAAGTAAGCCAACTGTTGTGTGTCCATCTCTCTCCTTACTTTAGGTAAAGTCACTTTAGGGATTTAGGATCATTCCAAATCGATTACATAATAAGATGTAGAGTATTCAAACTCTCAATCTTTACTCTTGTATTTGTGAAGGGTTAAAGCAATATTTAGTATTTACCTTCCTTAATTTTCTCTAGTGAAGCATAAAGTGCCTTCCTTCTTGTCTTCTGCAACCACTGCATGCCAAGGGAAAAAAAACACTTCATACTTTCATGAGGTTTAACAGCTATTTTCATTCTTCAGTTTTCTTGTCCACTTCTATTTTGATATTACACTCCAATCACACGTTCCAAATGTGGCAAGCAGAGGTAGATGTAAGCTACAAGGAAATTTTTCGAATAGAGAGTGACCCTCCATCAACTTTTAAGTTTAACCATTATAGATTTAGCATTTCCTAAAGTAATATATCTGAAAAACATAAAACCAACTTCCCAGAATCTCTCAGCAACTAGAGAAATGGCATGTGAACATACATATGCCCAGATCACTGGACAAAGCTTCAATTCATTTTCACTTTGGCTTTTAGCAGTTAAACATTGTGTGTCTTTCTCTCAGAGTTCTATCACAGGAACAGGAACTAAACTGTAAATAGCTATATTTAGCATTTTATTCCTCAGGCAATAACCTTAAGAACAGAAAAAATACTTCCCTATACCTTCCCAAATCTGCATATTGACCGTTCGACGAAGAAGCATACGAAGACCATGACAGTGACCACAGAGGCAACAGAATATGTGGGCGTTTCAGCCAGAGACCTCCCTCGCTGAAGCACCTCTGCCATCTCTCTCACATCACAAGAAGAAACCGACCCTTTAGCTGAGACACAGAAAGTTGAAAACTTTCATGTCAAAGATGGAATATTTTCTCGGGAAAAAGAGACCCAGATTGAAAAATGTGGATTTGGGCAGTGAAGGATCCAGGAAATGAGGGAAGTTAGACACTGCAAAAGAGAAGCATCATCCCAGGAGGGCAAGAGTTGTTTTATTAGGTATGAAGGGTGCATGTGGGAGGTTTAGATCCCACACATGGCGGAGAACATTATATAGTGTTCAATATAATATAAAACTTGTATTATATACATATGTTGCTATTTTTATTGTCTCACTCACATAGTCCCACTGAGATTGCGACTTTTTATGGAAATTCAGCGTCAACTGCATTGGACCCAGTGCTTTCTCTCTCACCTCTCTCTCCAAATCCAGCCAGTGCACATGGAGAGCGACAAGAGTGTATCTGATCTACCTCGCACTCACCAAGCCACTGGGAGCCTCTACTTAATCCTATAACCAAATTTTTATACTCTACTCGTTCTATTTATAAATTATTTTTAAGATACTTTACTAAATTTAATATAAATTTTAAATTTCATTAATTCTCATTTAAAATTCAACAACATTTCAATTTTATCTTTATTTAATTTATAATAAACTAAATATGAATAAAGTCAAGATAATAATAGATGAAAGGTAAAATTATATATTTACATAAATTTTTTTTCTTTCTGCATTATAAATAGAACAAAAAAATTTTCTCTCTTACTTTCTTATAAATATGATTAGAGGAGTAATAACTATATATATTTGTGTGTGCATGTATATTAAATATCTCATAAAACAAGTGTTTGAAATAATTAA